GAGGTAGCGCCTGTCTCATATAATATGTATTCTGCTTCTGTATTCTTGGTCCCACGCTCTGCACAAACTCATCAAACATGGCAGGTTCCATGCTAAGGTAGTTAAAGAATGACTGCGTGTCCTCAACTCTGAGCTCCTCCATTAGTCTTGTGTAATGTCCATACAGCCTCCTCCTTTCCTCTGTCAGCCATGGTCTGGTCTGGAATCTCCGGGATCTCCTCCTGGTCTTCTCCACATTTCTTTCAATCAGATCTTGCTTGAGGACAGCAATCTGGTCCAGGGGTCCATACTGTATAGAAGTTGGGTAGAAACTGATGAATAGTACAGATTCAACAGGTTTTTATACCCCTTCGTGGAACATTCCGGCAGCATTCTTGATGCGTTTCGGACAATCGTGTTACATTCTAAGTGCATTTGAAGAACATCAGAAATATTCGAACTGCATTCTGTTTTAATTCTTTAACTTTGGATCCATATTCAGGGTTCATTACAAGAGCGTTCTGAATGCATTCTATGTAAATTCGTACAGCAATCGGGGTACGTTCCAACTGAAATTCGAGTGCTATTCACGCAGCAATCGAACCGGACTCGTACGGCAGTCGAAATTCATTTTAAGTATTCTTAGTATATTCTAACGGCATCCTAATTATTCCTACAGTATTCCGATTCATTCGGGCCGCATTCGTGACATTTGGAATGAATAAGAAACATTCGAGGCTTGTTCGAAGTGCGTTCTAAGTATTCCAACAGCATTCTAACAAAGCTTGAAAAAAGTGTTTATTTTGACATTCTCTCCTGAATGCGGTTCGAATTTTTTAAAAAAAATTCTGGGTGATTCTCCTTGATTCCTGTCAATTCGAAATAAGCGTGAAGGAGCTTTTAAGCGTCATACTATTTCTGACATGTTGAAAGAGGCTTCCGTCATTTCTACCCATTAGAGATGTAGTATCAATGGCTGCAAAAACTAGACCTGTCGCACTTACAAGCTGTATTTCTAACTTTTTGAAAAGTGTCTTTTTAAGCACGTTTTGAATTATCTTAGTGATAACAAAAGACTTTCATAAAATTTTACAGTCTGGTTTTATGCCAGGTAATTATACTGTTTATCAATTGACATACTTATATGTTTTATTGCAAGTACGCTCGATAAAAGGTAAATATGGTATTCTGTGATGTAGGTTAAACCCTTGATAAAGTATGGCATAAAGGATGTTTAGTTGAACTTAAGGCGTATGGTATAAGTGGAAATGTACATGAAATGGTTTAACAATTACCCACAAAACCGTAAACTGGGTAGTAACCGAAGGCTCCAAATCTGACTTAAACCTTGTATTAAAAAAGATTTCGAAATGGGTAGATACATGCCAAGTTCGTTTTAATCTACAAAAATATCCCCGGAAACAATCTTGTTTTCAAAGGAATTATAAACCCCAGTACAAAACCTGCTTTACAAATGAAAGTTGCTGATATAACATGAGTTAAATGCCACAAACATTTAAGTTTGATCATTACAACGGGAATCTTAGGAATAAACATATTGAAGAACGTATTGTACCCGATGGTAAATTGCTTTGGAAGTTTTATATACCGTACGCGTCTATCTCGGAAAACTCTAGGGGCTGTGTACCCTGTAAAAATCATTTATGGTTTAATCGTATTTGAATAAAAAACTGAATAGGGACCGGTATGATACTTTATGGATAGGTTATTCATCAACTTCTAAAATGCCAATTAAACAGAAACAAGAAGACAAAGGCATCAATGTACCCAGCAATGGCAAAATACTCTTCATAAATATGTCAGTTAGTTATGATTATGTCAAATCTTTTGGAGAGTATATAGCAGTGAGTGAGTTTAGTTGTATGCCGCACTCAGCAATATTCCAGCTATATGGCAGCGGTCTGTAGATAATAGAATCTGGACCAGATAATCCTATGATCAACAGCATGAGCATCGATCTACACTATTGGTATGTGTCAACCAAGTCAGTGACTATATTGCAAAGTTGAAGGAGAGTACTGAAAGGTTTTTAAGTTCTGTTCCGGAAAAGAGCACTACCATCAAGTCAAACCTGTTGCCATGGAAACGCAAAGTATGTTTTATTTAGAAATCCATACCTACCAAAAGGCACCAGTACAGCACCAGACCTATCTAGGTGCCAGGTTTGGTGAAGAACTATTGAACGGTTTTAAAGTTCAGCTCCGGAAAAGAGCACCATCACCAATGTCAGTCAAAGTCAAACTTGTTGCCATGGAAACGCAAAAAAACTATTTTATTCAGAATTCCGAAACTACCAAAAGGCACCAGTACACCACCAGACCTATCTATGTGCCAGGTTTGGTGAAGAAATATTGAACGGTTTTAAAGTTCTGCTCCGGAAAATACAAATGTGCATTTTAATAATGAATAGGGATTGGTGAACAAGATGTTATAGTTTATATCAACACTGCTCTCATACATCATATAATACAAATAGTAAGTCAGAAAATGATATGCATTATCATACAAGTTAACAACTTCATGCTAAACAGAAGCACAGAAGTATGGTGAAAACAAATTGGTGTATTTTGTAGTTGTTCTTGTATTTAAATCTATCAAATGAACACAGGTATAAGTACTTAGTCAGGTAAAATTTGGTGTGCCTGAAGAGTTAATGGAATTAAGGAACATGTGTAGCTTAATTGGTGATACGTTGTTTTTATACACTTTCATGCTTCATGTGTCGAGGCGAAATTTTATAAAAACAAGGGGATACTATTAACATGGGGAAAATGAACGCAGTTTAGAAATATTGTTCACGGATTATGTTGTTGGAAATTGGAAAGAAAATCTCCAATAGTAACATACGACCGTGTGGACCAAACGTCTTTCTGGTTTATCGTATAGAGCGGCAATTCCATGTACATTCTTACACCGTTATCAAACACTTTTACATCGAAACGTCTCTCTCTATAACAGCATGGCGTTGTTAGTGTGTGCTTCATTATTTATACATAAATTTGAAAATAGGAAAAAGTGTTGGTAATAGCAGTAAAAAGTATAATGGAAGATTGAAAATCTGGGATGTTCGTGAAGAGTGTAAGCAGTCATGTAAATGTACACGCAACGGTATGGTTTGCCTCATCGCAACACAGAAAAAACGACTGATGCTTATCACAGCTGTTGTTTCACTCGGTTGCCGCACCGTACTGCACATATCGTCACTTGCACGATGGGCAAGGGACAATAAACCAATAGCAAACAGTACATATCCCAGTGCCTCTTTGTACATGATTCTTTCGCCAATGTAAATAATACAATTCACATCTGGATGCGTAATATTTTCATCTAAGTATATTATTCATTATCTACGTGGAAGTAGAAACATACTGCTCTACAACAAAACCAAGGAGTTACTAATCACAAAACTAACACTGAATATGAGAATGTATTGACGTAAATGAGGGGAGTGTCAATCGATGTCATCCGCGATAGTGATATGTCAAGACGATGTTTATAAACTGCACATCTGTATTCTATTCAGTGTCCCGAGTTAGGGATTCATATGAAATTTCCGTTTGGTTGCCTCAACAACCAAAATATCAATGCAAGTGTATATACAGTCAGTACCGTAATTCAAGTGTAATGCAAAGAGGCAGCTGCATGATATGGCTACCGAATGTATGTCTCTTGTGTTGATGTAAGTACAAAATGCCAGTCGATATGACCTGCGATAGTTCATGAATAATTCTTAAAACTGAACATAAGTGTTAGAATTCAGATTCAAGGATTCCAGTCAGGTTTCCGTTTGGATGTTTAAATAACTTTTAACAGAAAAATAGTCAGCTCTCGTAGATATACACCTGTATAGTTACCTCTGTTAGACATCTATATAGTCAGCTCTGGTAGATAGACACCTGTGTAGTTACCTCTGTTAGACACCTACAATGTCACCTCGGGTAGATAGACACCTGTATAGTTACCTCTGTTAGACACCTATATAGTCAACTCTGGTAGATAGACACCTGTATAGTTACCTCTGTTAGACACCTATATAGTCAGCTCTGGTAGATAGACACCTGTATAGTTACCTCTGTTAGACCTATATAGTCAGCTCTGGTAGATAGACACCTGTATAGTTACCTCTGTTAGACACCTATATAGTCAGCTCTGGTAGATAGACACCTGTGTAGTACCTCTGTTACCTCTGTTAGACACCTATATATAGTCAGCTCTGGTAGATAGACACCTGTATAGTTACCTCTGTTAGACCTATATAGTCAGCTGTGGTAGATAGACACCTGTATAGTTACCTCTGTTAGACACCTATATAGTCAGCTCTGGTAGATAGACACCTGTATAGTTACCTCTGTTAGACACCTATATAGTCAGCTGTGGTAGATAGACACCTGTGTAGTTACCTCTGTTAGACACCTACATTGTCACCTCGGGTAGATAGACACCTGTGTAGTTACCTCTGTTAGACACCTATATAGTCAGCTCTGGTAGATAGACACCTGTATAGTTACCTCTGTTAGACCTATATAGTCAGCTGTGGTAGATAGACACCTGTATGGTTACCTCTGTTAGACACCTATATAGTCAGCTCTGGCAGACAGACACCTGTATAGTTACCACTGTTAGACACCTATGACACCCTGGTAGATAGACATATAGTCAGCTCTGGTAGATAGACACCTGTGTAGTTACCTCTGTTAGACCTATATAGTCAGCTGTGGTAGATAGACACCTGTATAGTTACCTCTGTTAGACACCTATATTGTCACCTCTGGTAGATAGACACATGTATAGTTACCTCTGTTAGACCTATATAGTCAGCTCTGGTAGATAAACACCTGTATAGTTACCTCTGTTAGACACATATATAGTCAGCTCTGATAAATGAACACCTGTACACTCTCTGTCCACTCATCTCTCTCTCACTCTCCTTCTCTGTCCCTCAGGCATAGTGTGTGAATCGTATATTACATGCGGTAGTGAATATAGATTTGTTTACGTACCTCACGTATACCATAAGGAGTGTGAGAATTTGTTTTCACAGTGGCCCCCGAATACGGGTTCCTCGTAGCACGCAAAACGTCAATGTTCATTCCAAAACATGGGCAGCTTCAGCTGTGTCGCATGGTGAGAACAGTTCCCAGGTAAACCGTTAATAGACAGTGCGGAGCTATAGTTTGATTGTTTTCTGCGGGCTTTGTGCCGCGCATACTTGCACTTAATACAAATGATCGTGTACATGCGCAGTAGTGTGAATATGTTGTCTTGTGACAGTGGCGTGTAAGGTACGCTTGTGTCTGCGTGTGTGTCTGTTTCTATGTAGAAAACTTGTCTGTGTCTGAGTCTGTTCTTGTCTTTTGCTTTGTATGTGTGTCTATCTGTGTATGTCCTTATCGGTGTCAGCATATGTCATGCATCTGCGTCCGTGTCTGTGTCTGTGCGTATATCAAGTATCCGCGTCTGTGTTTGTTCGTATGTCATGTAGCCTCGTCTGTGTCTGTACGTATGTCATGTATCCGCGTCTGTGTCTGTACGTATGTCATGTAGCCGCGTCTGTGTGTGTTCGTATGTCATGTAGCCGTGTCTGTGTCTGTACATATGTCATGTATCCGCGTCTGTGTCTGTACATATGCCATGTAGCCGCGTCTGTGTCTGTATGTATGTCAGGTATCCGCGTCTCTTTCTGTACATCTGTCATGTAGCCGTGTCTGTGTCTGTTCATATCACATGTAGCCGCGTCTGTGTGTGTTCGTATGCCATGTAGCCGCGACTGTGTTTGTACGCAGGTCATTTTGCCGTGTCTGTGTGTGTACGTATGCCATGTAGCCGCGTCTGTGTCTGTTCGTATGCCATGTAGCCGCGTCTGTGTCTGTACATATGTCATGTAGCCGCGTCTGTGTCTGTACGTATGCCATGTAGCCGCGTCTGTGTGTGTTCGTATGTCATGTAGCCGCGTCTGTGTCTGTACGTATGTCAGGTATCCGCGTCTGTGTCTTTTCGTATGTCATGTAGCCGCGTCTGTGTCTGTACGTATGCCATGTAGCCGCGTCTGTGTGTGTTCGTATGTCATGTAGCCGCGTCTGTGTCTGTACGTATGTCAGGTATCCGTGTCTGTGTCGGTACGTATGTCATGTAGCCGCGTCTGTGTCTGTACATATGCCATGTAGCCGCGTCTGTGTGTGTTCGTATGTCATGTAGCCGCGTCTGTGTCTGTACTTATGCCATGTAGCCGCGTCTGTGTGTGTTCGTATGTCATGAAGCCGTCTGTGTCTGTACATATGCCATGTAGCCGCGTCTGTGTCTGTTCGTATGCCATGTAGCCGTGTCTGTGTCTGTACATATGTCATGTAGCCGCGTCTGTGTCTGTACATATATCATATAGCCGCGTCTGTGTGTGTTCGTATGTCATGTAGCCGTGTCTGTGTCTGTATGTATGTCAGGTATCAGCGTCTGTGTCTATACGCATGTCATGTAGTCGCGTCTGTATCTGTATTTATGTCATGTAGCCGCGTCTGTGTCTATTCATATGTCATGTAGCCACGTCTGTGTCTGTTCGTATGCCATGTAGCCGCGTCTGTGTCTGTTCGTATGCCATGTAGCCGCGTGTGTGTACATGTCTGTAATATGTTGTGTAGCCGCATCTGTGTCTGTACATATATCATGTAGCCGCGTCTGTGTGTGTTCGTATGTCATGTAGCCGTGTCTGTGTCTGTATGCATGTCAGGTATCAGCGTCTGTGTCTGTACGCATGTCATGTAGTCGCGTCTGTGTCTGTACATATGTCATGTAGCCGCGTCTGTGTCTGTTCATATGTCATGTAGCCGCGTCTGTGTCTGTTCGTATGCCATGTAGCCGCGTCTGTGTCTGTTCGTATGCCATGTAGCCGCGTCTGTGTACATGTCTGTAATATGTTGTGTAGCCGCGTCTGTGTCTGTACATATATCATGTAGCCGCGTCTGTGTGTGTTCGTATGCCATGTAGCCGCGTCTGTGTCTGTATGTGTGTCAGGTATCAGCGTCTGTGTCTGTACGTATGTCATGTAGCCGCGTCTGTGTCTGGACGTATGCCATGTAGACGCGTCTGTGTGTGTTCGTATGTCATGTAGCCGCGTCTGTGTCTGTTCGTATGTCATGTAGCCGCGTCTGTGTCTGTACATATGCCATGTAGCCGCGTCTGTGTCTGTTCGTATGCCATATAGCCGCGCCTGTGTCTGTACGTATGCCATGTAGCCGCGTCTGTGTGTGTTCGAATGTCATGTAGCCGCGTCTGTGTCTGTTCGTATGCCATGTAGCCGCATCTGTGTGTGTACATATGTCATGTAGCCGCGTCTGTGTCTGTACATATGCCATGTAGACGCGTCTGTTTCTGTTCGTATGCCATGTAGCCGCGTCTGTGTCTGTACGTATGCCATGTAGCCGCGTCTGTGTGTGTTCGTATGTCATGTAGCCGCGTCTGTGTCTGTACGTATGTCAGGTATCCGCGTCTGTGTCTTTTCGTATGTCATGTAGCCGCGTCTGTGTCTGTACGTATGCCATGTAGCCGCGTCTGTGTGTGTTCGTATGTCATGTAGCCGCGTCTGTGTCTGTACGTATGTCAGGTATCCGTGTCTGTGTCTGTACGTATGTCATGTAGCCGCGTCTGTGTCTGTACATATGCCATGTAGCCGCGTCTGTGTGTGTTCGTATGTCATGTAGCCGCGTCTGTGTCTGTACTTATGCCATGTAGCCGCGTCTGTGTGTGTTCGTATGTCATGAAGCCGTCTGTGTCTGTACATATGCCATGTAGCCGCGTCTGTGTCTGTTCGTATGCCATGTAGCCGTGTCTGTGTCTGTACATATGTCATGTAGACGCGTCTGTGTCTGTACATATGTCATGTAGCCGCGTCTGTGTGTGTTCGTATGTCATGTTGCCGTGTCTGTGTCTGTATGTATGTCAGGTATCAGCGTCTGTGTCTATACGCATGTCATGTAGTCGCGTCTGTATCTGTATTTATGTCATGTAGCCGCGTCTGTGTCTATTCATATGTCATGTAGGCACGTCTGTGTCTGTTCGTATGCCATGTAGCCGCGTCTGTGTCTGTTCGTATGCCATGTAGCCGCGTCTGTGTACATGTCTGTAATATGTTGTGTAGCCGCATCTGTGTCTGGACATATATCATGTAGCCGCGTCTGTGTCTGTACGTATGCCATGTAGCCGCGTCTGTGTGTGTTCGTATGTCATGTAGCCGCGTCTGTGTCTGTTCGTATGCCATGTAGCCGCGTCTGTGTGTGTACATATGTCATGTAGCCGCGTCTGTGTCTGTACATATGCCATGTAGCCGCGTCTGTTTCTGTTCGTATGCCATGTAGCCGCGTCTGTGTCTGTACGTATGCCATGTAGCCGCGACGCTGTGTGTTCGTATGTCATGTAACCGCGTCTGTGTCTGTACGTATGTCAGGTATCCGTGTCTGTGTCGGTACGTATGTCATGTAGCCGTGTCTGTGTCTGTACATATGCCATGTAGCCGCGTCTGTGTCTGTTCGTATGTCATGTAGCCGCGTCTCTGTCTGTACTTATGCCATGTAGCCGCGTCTGTGTGTGTTCGTATGTCATGAAGCCGTCTGTGTCTGTACATATGCCATGTAGCCGCGTGTGTGTCTGTTCGTATGCCATGTAGCCGTGTCTGTGTCTGTACATATGTCATGTAGCCGCGTCTGTGTCTGTACATATGTCATGTAGCCGCGTCTGTGTGTGTTCGTATGTCATGTAGCCGTGTCTGTGTCTGTATTTATGTCAGGTATCAGCGTCTGTGTCTGTACGTATGTCATGTAGCCGCGTCTGTGTCTTTTCGTATGCCATGTAGCCGCGTCTGTGTGTGTTCGTATGTCATGTAGCCGCGTCTGTGTCTGTTCGTATGTCATGTAGCCGCGTCTGTGTCTGTTCGTATGCCATGTAGCCGCGTCTGCGTACATGTCTGTAATATGTTGTGTAGCCGCGTCTGTGTCGGTACGTATGTCATGTAGCCGCGTCTGTGTGTGTTCGTATGTCATGTAGCCGCGTCTGTGTCTGTACGTATGTCAGGTATCCGTGTCTGTGTCTGTACGTATGTCATGTATCCGCGTCTGTGTCTATACTTATGCCATGTAGCCGCGTCTGTGTGTGTTCGTATGCCATGTAGCCGCGTCTGTGTCTATACTTATGCCATGTAGCCGCGTCTGTGTGTGTTCGTATGTCATGTAGCCGCGTCTGTGTCTGTTCGTATGCCATGTAGCCGCGCCTGTGTCTGTACTTTTTCCACCTAGCCGCGTCTGTGTGTGTTCGTATGTCATGTAGCCGCGTCTGTGTCTGTACATATGCCATGTACCCGCGTCTGTGTCTGTACATATGCCATGTAGCCGCGTCTGTGTCTGTACATATGCCATGTAGCCGTGTCTGTGTCTCTTCGTATGTCAGGTATCACCGTCTGTGTCTGTACACATGTCAGGTAGCCGCGTCTGTGTCTGTACCGTTGTCAGGTATGCGCGTCTGTGTCTGTACACATGTCAGGTATGAGCGTGTGTGTCTGTACGCATGTCAGGTAGCCGCGTCTGTGTCTATACGTATGTCAGGTATCTACGTCTGTGTCTGTCTGTGCCTGTATTTCTCTCTGTGTCTGTGCATATGCCTGGTTCTGTATTTGCAAGTCTGTTTCTGATCATATGTCTGTGTATGCGTAAAAAACGTGAAAAACACGTGTTTGAGAGTGAAAGTCTGTGTGTGAGTGCGTGTGTCTGTGTGAATGGGTGAGTTACACGTTTATGTCATATTTGCAATAGTTCAGCCATATAGTGAGGAGAAGAGTTCTGTTAAATATTTGAAAAATTATAATAAAATATAATAAAATAATTAAATATTCTATTCAGCACAAAGATTACATATGACATTTAATATGATTAAAATGCGGGCTATAGACCACCAGCTACCAAGCTAGACCACCTGACTGGGAATCATGGGGACTTACAATAGACGATATTTAGGCAAGTGTTGATAGTGAATATCATCAGCTCCCATTGCAGTATCAAGGACTTGTGATAAGTCAGTGCAAAGTTCAT